GCCGTTGGCTTTGCCTCCTCTTGTGCCGCGGTGGCGGGCGGCGTGCGGTGCCCCTCGTCCTCAGGAGCTCCGGCCAGGGCAGGAGCTGCCGCCTCGGTGTCTGTGGGAGCCCCTGCCGCCTCTGTGCTGCTGGGCTCCTCCTGGGCACCAGCATGGGGGTCCTGGAAGAGCTCCGGGACCGAGGGGTTGACCCAGATGCTGTAGATGGTGATGTCTTCCCCCCGGGACAGCTCACGGTCTTCCTGCTCCCCCTCCTTGGCCAAGGCCCCCGGCTCCTCCTGTAAATACACGAACCCCAAGAGGGGGGTTAAGGAGAATCTCTGTCCTTTGCTGGATGTGGGGGGGACGTAGCGGCAAAGGACGAGGAGGAGGCTGAGGCAGTTAATGCTGCCTTCGCCCCAGTCTTTAACTGTAAGGGCAGTTGTTCCCAGGGCACCCAGCCCCCTGAGCTGGAAAACAGGGAGTTAAATCCCGTTGGTGGCCGGGCAGAAGTGGTGCCCCCCAGGGCACAGCACTGGGGCCAGTTCTGGCTCTGCGGAAGCGAGGGGTGGTGGGGGCCGCTGCCCCTCCCCGCCTGACCCCCTGGAACTGCACCTCTCTGTTTGCCCTCCCCCTCCCAACATCTTCCATAGTATTTATTTAATTAGCATTTAATTAACGTTGCCTTTGGTTTTGCTGCGTCTGTATCACTGTGATGGTGAGCTCCGGGCTAGGGGATGAGGGCTTCCTCCGGCCCCTCTCCAACCCCCCCGCGCCCGGCACGCCCCCAACGCAGCGGGAGCGATGGGTGGGGATTTTTGTTGGTTCGTTTTTTCTGTGCCTTGAGTTTCTTCCCAGCCGGGGCAGGTATCGCCCCTTCCTCTTGGGCGCCCAGCTGCCCCGCCGGGGGGAGGGCAGGCTACACCTCGCTTAAACTGAGGGGGTTTTTGCCTTTGGGTGCAGAGTCTGGCTGGAGAACACTGGGCCAGCAGAAAACTCTTCCCAGCACCTGCAAACCCACGCACAACACGGTACAAATGCCTTGAGCCTGCTCCCAGTGAACCCAGTGGCGCGAAGTCCCTTTGGGCCCCGGCTGTAGGAGCTGCCAGTCTGGGGGGGACAGACCAGGGACCCAGCGTGGCCAGAAGATGACCTCCAGGATGACAGCGAGAGGCCAGCAATGTGGGTGCAGAGGCAGGGAGGCCAGGTCGCCGTCCCACTAGAGGGAGCGAGAAGATCGCTGTCGGGGGAGGCAAGTGGAAGAGTTGGGATGAGGGAGCCCGACAGAGAAGGAGCTGCGGGTGGAAACTTGGCCCTTCATCCCCCACCGGAGCCTGGGGACGCTCCCGGCCAGGGCGCGTGTGTCGCGGGAGCCAGCAGTCCCACCTCGTGGTGATGCACAGGGTGCTGCTGGCTCGGCGGCGTCGGGGCTCTACACCCCTCCGGGGAAGCTTGCCGGTCTGTGCCGTTACAGGGCTGGCCCCAGACTTCCCCTCTCCATCCCTCCATCCCTCCATCCCTCTGCTCCAAAGCACACAAACTCCCACAAGCAAGGCAGGGAGCAGCCCTGCTCCCACAGTCCCCCACAGCCTCCGTGGTCCCCCACAGCCTCCCTGCTCCCGTGGTCCCCCACAACCT